GGCGTTTAGTTTCGGTATCATGTGCTAATATTGTCCCAGTTCATTGTACAATCAGATGTCTCGTTCATAGCTAATCATGCTGTAATTACTGAAATTGTTTTCCAAATATGCATGATTTGGAACTTTGCAAAATTCTAAAATAGTTGCATTTCTAATAGTTCATTTGTTTAAATGCACAAGACAATTACTTCCAACCTAATTGGAAAGGATATTAAATGCAAACGATCCATTGGCCTATGACGAAGCTAGGGATAATTAACAAATCATGGTGGCCTAACAACTTTTTGTATTTAGTATGATAGTGAATGTATTTTTAGCAGCTTTCTAAAATTCGTTCCTATTTAAGCATTCCGGTGAGACACTCGGGTTAGGAGAGATTCAGATTTCACACAGTTGTTCACATTCAATATGTAGTCAGTTATAGCATTTTCAAAGTGCATATGCCAAGACTAATCATGGTCATTCTAATTGTGTAAACAGAGCCAATCTATATTTAGATGTATATTATTATAATTCCTGATTAATAATTCTATTTTTGATGAATATACATATCAGTTATGGATACCAAACAATAATAAAAGTCTTGTATTATAATTATCTGTAGTCTCTGTGATAAGTAGAAAATGTATCCATGTACAAGCACACACAGGCTCACCCCCCCCCCCCCACACACACACACAAAGAAAAGACTGCCACATCATTGTTAAATTTATTTAATATTTTTGCTACTTGGAATTTGAAAACTTATCATCACCATTCACAGATCAACATTCATAACATCATTTTTTTTTCAATTTTTTTTCCAAAACTTTGATCAAGAATTTTAGCCAAAAGTAAAATATAAACATTTGGACCAAAATTATCAACAACAAAAAAATTGTAAAAATGTTCATCAAAATTTAGGCAGTAAAGAAATATAGTAATCAAAGGATTAATGGTTTTTGTGAAAACCCCTGCTGAAATTTGCAAACATTTTACCAGTCATGAAATAAAACATGTTTGTTTACAGAAAATGTGAGACCAGAATCCCAACTTGTAAACATTGAATTCACTCGAAACCAAGTAGTTTTGAAAAGCAGACTGAAGCAAAATTCCTAAACAGAAATACATGATGGGATTTTAGGATGTCTAAGACATGATATTAGTAGGAAAATCCATGGCCATGATTATATTACTAAATAAATAGAAATAGGAAATAATTAATAGACTTGTTTACTTTGCCAGGCTTCACCAAATATATTTGAGTAAGGAACTAAACTATGCCTAAACATATGGATTTCATTTGTTGCAGGCCATTTCAGCAGGACTGTATCAATTTTGTATGACACCAAATTTGACCTGACATGGCCTCACATGTTATTTGTTTATCCAATGTCTCAACTTGATTATTCTCCATCATGCTGTATACTGCTATCGTTTTTGGAGATTAATTTCTGAAAATTCTAAAATGCAAACAGTGAAAATATTTTGCTTATTTCTTTCTTTCTATTGGTATGCAGCTGCTGCCAATCTATTATATTGATGTAACTCATTCCTATGGAATATTCATATAAAGAATCTCTCATGCACACAATACGTGATGTTGTATATCGTTATTCAAATTTATTTTGGGTTTATGGTTTTACCTTACCAGCTTGCACAATGTTTAATATCACCATTTTCCAGGTGTCTTAAAAAGATGGAGATGTTTTCTTGATTACAAAGAAATGTTGATACATGGCAATTTACTGTCCACTTGACTATTACAGCCATCTATTTTCAAGGTTGCTGTAGGCATATATTCTGATTCAGTCTAGTAGCCAATCTATTATACCACAATTCCCACAGTGAACTAGTTTAGGTGTGTTAGTGATGACACTGGCATATACATATACAGTGCCGAGTATAAACACAAAGCAGATTGTCAATTGGATATTAAGTGTTTACTGGCACCATTTAGCTTGAACATTTTGCAATGACTTTAGGGTTTACATTAAAGATTATTGTAGTTGTCGAGTATGAATCACCAACGGTAAAACAGGGAATTGGGCAAAACAAGACAGGAAACAAAACAAGCAGCCTCTCGGCTGAGATAGCTCCGCTGTTAGCAATGCACATTTCAATTAAAGAACAGAAGATATCATTAGAAAATGAACAATATACATAGTATCAATGCAATGGGACTTGCTGTCTTCAACAAGAATTCAAAAATATCATTTTTCACCATAAATGA